AAGACTCGTAGAGTGGATAATGGAGCTGTAAGCATGGGCACCGGCCTCGGAACTGTAGCAGGGGCTTCCCTAAGGGATGTGGTAAGACTTGAGGGTGGTGGTGGAGGTATAGTAGTAGCACTAGAAGAGGTCTCAATAGAGGTAGATGGAATGTCAGTTGTCTCGGTGACTACCACTCTCGGCTCATCAGACTGGCCTGTATTGGTAGAAGGCTGAGCTCTCTTCTTTGGGTTTGTCGCATCCCTCAACAAATACCAGTCAAATGGCTTCTTCGGCTTCACCTTGGTGTCATATGATCGTGGATCTAACTTTACATCAGTGAGATACTCTGTGATAGTGTTAGGGTAAGGGTGGGTCGTTTTCTTATGTTGTGCTACCAATGAAATATTGGCCGACATCACGGCACCCACATTAATTGGGTATTTGTCCCTGATAGATGCCATAAGAACATCACGAGGAAAAGGAAGATGAGTCTCATTCTGGAATGGATCTAGTCTGCTACAAACAAAGGTCTGCCATCCCTTCACCTCAAAGCAAAATGTGTTCCGCTAAATGGTAACCCCAACAGTGATCCATGGTTGTGGTGGCCCTGGTGGTGCTAAGATCTCTGCTAGCCAAGGTCAGACTTCTTCTTTCATTGCACATTTCTATAGGTACTCCCCTAGCACCAAGTCCTCAAACCCCAAGTAGGCATTTAGCGTGTGCTGATCAAACCTCATCTTGAGGTTGCGTACTTTACTCACCTTCGTCCCCTTTTTGATGAGAGAAACATTTGCATACAACTCTCGGATGAGGTACTCTTTGGCATCTCCAGCTATCTCAGTAAACCACATCTAACCCTTTCTTGGTCTGAACTTCCTCAACATTGTCGGGTTGTATTTATCCAAATCCTTCAAGGGAAACTACTGCCCAAGTGTCAAGGATCATATTGGCCACCACATACGGAAGTCAGTAAAGGTTGCCAAGCTAACAAACCTAACCTCCCATATCTCCTTTTTCTTTAATCTCTCCACACCCATGGATGTACCATCTCCACCTCTAACATCATTGGGGATATCCTATACAGTCTGTGCATTTGTGTCTGGGGAAACTGCTGTATCAGAGGTCTGGCTAGCACTTTCTGACCCCTCGGAAGTGTTGTGAGATGAGGAGGCCTCATCTAAGAGCTCAAATCTCCCCTATGGCCTAGACTGTGTTGGTGTCTGCTCCTCCTGAATATAGGCTGAGTTTCCCTCCAAAGCTTCTCTAGATGGGACATAGGAACAAGACTCGGAGAGGTTTGCACCTCTCCATATACATGTTGTGGCCTTCTTCCTAATGGTTTTCGGTTGGCCAAGGGGCAAGTTACCTCTACCTCGACCCCTAGAGGATTCACCTTTTCCTTTTGTAGTTTCACCGCTGCGGTGCGATCGAACCATTGTCTGTGTCAAAGAAAAGAAAATTGTTAGTTGCAACTCATCATTCAACCTATGCAAGACTTATGTAGGCAAGGGAGAACATTGTGGACACAATGAAATTATGACAAAAATAACAGGCTACTGGAATTGGGATCTGCAGTCCGCAGATATTTTATGTGCGGTCTCAGATAGAAAGTGCGCATCGCACAATCACTAGTGTGGCCACACATTTATCAAAAACTATCAAAGGCCCAGAAGCCCCTCTCTGACGATAGTCCAGAGGAAGTTTTGCCATCGCAGAATACATCTGCCGTCTGCACATGTTTGAGTGTGACCCCTTTAAGATTTCTACAGTCCGCACAATTAAAGTGCAGCCGCAGATGCACTTGCTTCACCAGATTTCCCAAAACACCTAAACTGCAGAAGAAACAAATTCAAGTGCGGCCGTAGATTTTAAAAATTACGCACATGCATTCTTTTTCTACTTAGATCTTGCAATTACTTCTACAAATAGACATGGCAACATGGTATAAACATGAAATCTCATTAACACAACCCATTATAGCCTGTATTATCAACTACCCAATTCAGATCTACCCCACATGGGCACATGGATGAACTCTAATAACATATGGCCTAAAAGAAATTAAAATTTTAAAAGTTAAACTAACAGAAAAAATTTACACGAAATGAACCATACTAGATAGAGTGAGTGCACTAGGTGTATAAGCACATGGTGGTACTACTCTTGGTAACACCTTTTATCGTATCACATGTCAAACCACATTGTCCGTGGTGGTACTACTCTTGGTAACACCTTTTTCGCATCCGGTATGTCAATGATGTGTTCCCTAGATGGGTTCACCTCCTCTTGAGTCTCTTCCACACTATCAAATATATCAAATAGAACTTCCTTATTTGGTTGAGCAACATTGTTCGGGATCTATTCTTCTTGCATTACATTATCATCATCAGCAAGTTGCCTTCCACTTGAGGTGGGTGCATTCCCACCTCATCCACTTTGTGAGAACTGCCATAGCATGCCCCATATTGGTACCACCCTTTGGGTTTACCACCGTGTCACTTGTTAGTGCACCCTTAGGTCAAGAATTTAGAGCTTGAGAGATTTTCCCCATTGAACTTCTAGATTGCGGATTGATGTGTTGTGTGAGGCAAGTTGGGTATCCGAGTGGACATTCTTTTGGTGGTTTTCTTAGTTGTTGATACATTGGGGGCCTTTGTAAACCCGACCCCCAGCGGCCTTGATTGTTACCCCGACCACTTTGGTTGTTTCCTCCCCAATTTCCTTGGTTGTTTCCACTACAGTTTCCTTGATTGTTGTTGTTATGCCAAATCCCTTGATTGTTAGAACTACAATTGCCATGATTGTTTTGTTGTCACCATTGTTGTTGGTTTGGGCCTTGGATATTGTTTATTTTCACTTGAAAATTGTTGACATATTGCACTTCCTCCTCTTGCTCATTATAAGAATAATCTTGAACAAAACCTCCATCACCTTGCATATAGTTGTCAACTCGGGTTTTCATTTGTGGACCGTTAGTCCTCTTCTTGTTCACCATAACATTCACTCTCTCCATAGCATGAACTTTCTTAGATTTAGTTGAGCCTTTAATAGTTGAGTCATCGTAGTGGTCAATTCGGCAATGACTTGCCCATGCTCTTGCAATTATCTGTGGAGGTGGATCATATTCGGATCACCTTGTGGGACATTGGCACGGGATTTCCAAACCGATGATGTCTTCTCTATCTCATCTACAATGTTACACGCCTCCGCATAAGGGCTATTCATAATGTTCCCAGCGGTTAGTTGATTCACTACACATTGATTGGTTGTGTTAATCTCTCGATAAATGGTTTGTTGCAACATGTTTTCCGTCATATCGTTGATGGTACATTCCTTAACTATTGTTCCATAGCACTCCCAAAGTTTAGTGTAGTGGTTCATTCGGCTCTTATTTGAATGCCAAGATCTCATCTAGAAATGTAGCCATGTGCCCCGGAGAGAAAAACTTAGCAATGAACTTGGCCGCCAACTCATCCCAAGTGTGAATTGAATGGTTCAGCAAACATTCCAACCAATCTAAATATTTCCCCCGTAGAGAGAAGGGAAAAAGCCAGAGCCTCAATTCATCCTCGGAAACATTAGTTTGCTTTCTTCCCCAACATATATCCAAAAATCCTTTTAAAAGTCTGTAAGCATTTTGAGTTGGAGCACCGTTAAGGAAACCATGTTGCTCAAGCAAAGTGAGCATCACATTGGTGATTTGAAAGTTGCCCGCCCTAATACGGGGAGGGACTATTGCACTAGCATAACCTTCGTTGGGAAATATTTGGCGTGGAGATGCTTGGGGTGGAACATGCATGTTGTCTTGTGGTCCCCAGCCTCTTTGTTATTGCACTTGACATACCTCATCGAGTTGTTCCTACTCACCATCCAAGTCCCCCAAAGGCATATTTCCGAGCTCATTGTTTGCCATGATTGCACGTAAGATTTGTTAAACACGTTCGTAAAACGGAAGAGAAAGAAGATATGCCAAAAACACACTCAAATATATAGCTAACATCGTTTAAGCTCCCCGGCAACGACGCCAAAAATTGATCCACTCCCAATACATACTCAACAATGAGTGGAAGAGATCATTGGAAGAATAGTACCCAACTATGAGTCGGGGTCTATTTTCTCAGGGAGCTAAAATGGGTGTTCTGGTATACTTGATGCGTGAAGACGAAACAACATAAATACACTTCCAATCAAACTGGTTTTGCTAATTTCTTTTATAAACTACTCTATCAATGATCAACTAGAGAAAAAATATTAGAGATTGACTAATTATTTTTGGTTGTTATCAAATAGGCAAAAAGGCCTAGGGATGTAACCTTTGCCTAAGTGTTCGCCTAATGGGTTTAATATGTTAACACTTGTTTTAGTAATTGGGTTGTATTATAGCTCTCAACTCTAAGTTACCCACTCAATACCTCTCAGCCATAGAGTGATTTTGCTCAATTTGAATTTCTCAAGCCCAAATGACTATCAAGCTAAATAGTTGATATGAGCTCATGTCGGGTTTTCCCTATCTCTAGTTCAAACCCTTTATTTAGGCTATTCAAATACTTAACTAGCCCAATTTCTTGTTAGCCAAGTTGTCCTGGACTAGTTACCTCTTTCTCAAGTAAAGACCAAGTCAAAAAGGCATGAATCAATGTTTGCAACCATTAATTCTAAAATTAAAGTATGAACAAGGCTAAATAACAAACACCCAATCATAAACAAGCATTAAATTAGATACCCATAAGGTTTACACACTAGGGTTCGGTTGCAACCATGAAATTAAATTCCATTTGCGGTCTGCACATTGCTTAAGTCTGCAGGTTGAGAGATTTTGCTGCCGCACAATTTGATTTGCGGCTGCACTTTAGCTTCTGCGATCGCACAAATCATGTGCGGTCTGCACTTCTGGCAAGGCTTCAATCTTGGTCATTTTACACACTCTCTGAACTTTTTGATTCTTGTCAGTGCGACCATGTTCTGCGGCCGCACAAATTGTGTGCGGTCCGCCCTTCTCTTCAATCACTTCTGGGCTTCTACATAAGATTTGCAGTCACAGAAAGAATTTTGCGGTCAGCACTTTCTTTTACGGCCGTAGAAATACTTCTGCGGATTGCACTTCTGGTATGTTGCGCTGTTTCTTGCCTTGTGAGCCGGAACACCTCTTTTTTTAGTTGGATTTCTTCATTAGAGTCAAAATTTCCAATATTCCTGCAATTTGCACACTTTCATTAGTTTTGGGAAACTAAATCAACATTTTCGGACTAAAACTAAAGCATGAAGGTACTAAAGTGGTCAAAATCCACACTTATCAATATACCACAAGCAGGAAGACCATAACCAGGGCGCAATCAACTATTCAACACCAAGGACCATCTCGCTCGAATTCCGCTATAAGGCCCAAATAGAACCACATCATGTGTGTAAATAGTCAACAGTCTCACAAATCATTGTAGCATAAGAGAGTAATACATGGAAAATATAAGAAAAAGTATAAGATCAACTCTAGCATATGACACTCCCTCAATAGTAACTGTGCTGAGTAAACAAAGCCAACCCGATGTAGAACACACATTCTCATTATACTTACCAATGGCCTCAAAATCAATTCCGATACGCACGAAATCGGTAAAGAACCTCTGAAAAGTCCACATTAACCTATCCATAACACATTCACTCAGCTGTCAACCTCTCAACATACCGGCACCGTCTACAACCAACGAATAATCTGCCTTTGAGAAGCCTCATAGTCTTTAAATCCCTAGAATACATGAATATCCACGTCCGATCCCAACTCCACCACTCAAATGAACGATACACCCCTCATACACAATCACTTCACAATAAATATTTCCATAATTCTTCTTTTCCACATAGCAAAATCTAAACATCAGTAGTCAACCAACAACCAGGCGATTACCGTAATACCAGTTAAGCACCTGCAACTCAAACACAATGCGCGTTCTGAAATCTGCACCATTATCAGGTGATACATACAGTACCAACATCATTCTAAATATCTGAAACCATCAATGTTGTCTAGAACTCCTGACCTTCAATTCAAAGCTGAACCGCAACCTCATACATGCAAACATTAATCCCACGCGTCTCACCACATCTATCATGCCAACATAAGAAAAATATGAGAACCCCATTATCATCCCGGAATTATAAGCCGGACACATATTCTATCAGTCAGAAACCTTCCACTTGACCCCCATCCAAGAAACAATCACAACACCCAACATATTCCTTATCGCTAGGGAAAACATCCACCCCAAGCCGCGGTTGAACTCATTGGGAGCTCTTCGAAACCCATTAGCACAAAGCCAAGCCATCAGAGCTGATGAAATCTATGACTATGCCAACCCGAATCACTACCAAGCTGACCCCATTCTTTTAATTCTCCTCGACGTGCCTTCAAGTTAACACTTCTTGTTGCCAGTACACTACGATGCATAACCAAAGCTCATCACAAGTGATCCTAGCATGAATCCACGTCATCCTAAATCCCTTAAGACACCGTATTCCCTCTCAAGAATCCAATAACACCACAACCAAAATGCCAACACCAAAGAGACCTTTTGTGAATCTGAAGTTGTTAATTTAACCTCTGAACTGCTGAAATGTAGATTCATTAATGATACATAAATATTAAACTGATTAGAATTTTTTTTAAAGTCATCAACTCTGCTGTAATCTCAAATGCACTGCCAATACGAGCCGAACAACTTGTGCTCAATCAGCACCCAAATACCTCATGATTAAACCCCATCATACGAAGCCATGCGAATTCCTTCTATGTGCATACTACATCAACCACAAATAACAAACTCGAATCATTCTAAGATTTCCAATATGCCCACAAAGTATAGCACATCATGCATCTAGCAATTTCCTCATTCGAGTCATCCTCGAAATCAACCTCTTCAAGTCATAACTGATACATAAGTATGCCTCAAACCAAAACTAACATAACACATGACCATGCAACTAATCATCGACAACAGACTCCCCTACTTGGCTCGAAGCCACTAAACATAACAATCGATAACCCACAATGCCCTTACTCCATAACTGCCATAATATCTCACTGTAATTGAACTAAGTCCTTCATACGCTCATGTAGCTCTAACAATAAAAATAGCTCAAATCATCTTCTAAGCGCATATCCATCCTCGCGATAGCCGTGCGAACTTCCCCAAGCGATACAAACTCAAATTACTGCACATAATCTACTAATAGGAAGGAACATCTCCTCATAACATCCCGCAGAAGATAATCCCCCTGCTTTGCCTCAAACTGACATCTCTCTATGCACTTTCATGGCCACAACCACTATATAACCATTAAATCCTCCCGAATTTGAACTCATCAACAAGACATAACAATCCACTTCATTCCACAGATGAATAACATGAAAGAGTGGGATTACAAATCTAAAACTACCAAGGACAAGTGGTAGCTATATCCAAAAAAGCAAGTACACCTTCATGCTAGATCCCGTCATCCACAACATAATCTTCAGGATCTACACGTAAGGTGTAAAAGTGTAATATGAGCACTACCAACCCATGTACTCAGCAAGTATCATAACTAACCTCGATGAGGTAACATAAGTAAGATTTATAAATGATACTCGCTAATCAGATGTGTAGTTCATAATTGCAACAAGTGCATAACAGTAATATGATCAAATATTGAAATCCTTGATTAAACCATATATAATGATGATAAGAAAATAAATCAGGTAACCAACCAAGGAACTTATAAGTAAAGAAGAAATGCAATAAACTAACATAAATTTGTTAAAGCGCCCAATCCGATATAAATAGTAATCACAACACGACTCTAAGGCCCACATCAGAATCTCAATAATCGGACCAAACCGCTGATCAGCCTTCCCAAGGCACACATCAACCAGAAACCTGTCGGTTTCTCACAATCCATATGTACACCATCAATAAGGANTAGCTTAGTAAGGTCACAATCAAGAATAAGTACCCACTGCCAAGGATAGATGACTTGTTTGATCAATTGCAAGGTGCTAGGTACTTTTCCAAGATTGATTTAAGATCCGGGTATCACCAATTGAAGATCAGGGAGCGGGATATTCCGATAACTGTTTTTAGAATTCGGTATGGGCATTTTGAATTTCTGGTGATGTCTTTTGGGCTAACAAATGCCCCAGAAGCCTTCATGGATCTTAAGAATCGCGCTTTCAAGCCATTCCTCGATTCATTTGTGATAGTGTTTATTGAAAATATTCTTGTATATTCACGAAATCAAGAGGGCCATGCAGGTCACCACAAGGCAGTGTTGCAGACTCTGTATCAACACCAGTTGTATGCGAAATTTTCGAAATGTGAATTTTGGCTCGAGTCAGTCACATTCTTGGGTCATGTTGTTTTTAGTGATGGGATTAAGGTTGATCCTCAGAAAATTGTGGCTGTGAAGAATTGGTCGAGGCCTACAACTCCAACAGAGATTCGCAGTTTCTTAGGCTTAGCTGGATATTACAGAATGTTTGTGGAGGGGTTTTCTACTCTTGCCTCTCCATTGACTAAATTGGCGTAGAAGGCAATTAAGTTCCAATGGTTAGATGCTTGTGAAAAGAGTTTCCAGAAATTGAAAGCAAGATTGACTACGGCGCCGGTGTTGACTCTACCAGAGGGTATAGATGGATTTGTGGTATATTGTGATGCTTCAATAATCAGGCTTGGGTGTGTCTTAATGGAACATGGGAAGGTGATAGCATATGCATCTAGGCAACTAAAGAATCATGAGAAGAACTATCCAACACATGATTTAGAACTTGCGGCAGTGGTATTTGCATTGAAAATTTGGCATCATTATTTATATAAGGTCCATGTTGATATATTCACGGACCATAAGAGCCTTCAATATTTTCAAGCAGAAGGAATTGAATACGAGACAGAGAAGATGGCTTGAGTTACTCAAGGACTACGACATTGATATTCTATATCATCCGGGAAAGGCCAATGTTGTGGCTGATGATCTTAGCCGAAAATCGATGGATAGTTTGGCTCACTTGGAGGCATATCAGAGGCCATTAGCCAAGGAAGTCCACCGATTGGCTAGTTTGGGAGTTCGTCTTTGGACTCTAGTGAAGGAGGGGTAATTGTGCAAAATATGGCTGAATCATCGCTGGTTGTGGAAGTCAAAGAGAAGCAATACAACAATCCATTGTTGGTGCAGTTGAAAGAGGGGATTCATAAACATAAGACCATGGCCTTTTCTCTTGGCATGGATGATGGTACACTAAGGTACCAAGGGCAACTCTGTGTTCCAAATGTAGATGGTCTCCGGGAAAGAATTATAACAAAATCTCACACTTCTAGGTATTCTGTGCTTCCAGGTTCTACGAAAATGTATCATGATCTTAAGGAAGTATATTGGTGCAATGATATTAAGAGGAATGCGACAGATTTTGTGGCAAGATGTCCAAATTGTCAACAAGTGAAGGCCGAACACCAAAGGCCTGGTGGGTTGGCACAGAACATAGAAATTACAATGTGGAAATGGGAAATGATTAATATGTACTTTGTGGTAGGATTACCGCGCACTCCGTGCAAGTTTGACTCGATTTGGGTATTTGTGGATCGACTCATGAAATCAGCACACTTTTTGCCGGTTAAGTCTACCGATACAGCGGAGCAGTATGCTCAGTTGTATATCAAAGAAATAGTCAGGTTGCATGGCACCCCAGTTTCCATCATTTTTTATCGGAGGGCACAATCCACTGCTAAGTTTGGAAGAAATTTCAGCAAGGTTTGGGTACTCAAGTGAATCTTAATACAGCCTTTCACCCGCAGACTGACGGGCAGGTAGAGCGGACTATTTAGACGCTTGAGTATGTGTTGCACGCTTGTGTTATAGACTTTAAAGGTAGATGGGATGATCATTTACCACTCATAGAATTTGCATATAATAATAGATATTATGCTAGCATTCAAATGGCACCGTTCGAGGCTTTATATGGTAGGAGATGTAGATCTCCCATTGTGTGGTTCGAAATTGGAGAAGCAGAGTTGATAGGGCCAGACCTCATGCATCAGGCAATGGAAAAAGTTAAAATCATTAAGGAGCGGTTGAAGACTACTCAGAGTCGTCAGAAATCCTATTCGGATGTTTGTCGTAGAGATTTGGAATTCAAAGGAGATGATTGGGTATTTTTGAATGTTTCCCCCATGAACGGTGTAATGCGATTTGGTAAGAAAAGGAAATTGAGTCCGAGGTATGTCGCACCGTACAAAATCATTCAGAGGATAGGTGAGGTAGCATACAAACTTGAGCTACCACCTGATATGTCATTAGTGCACCCGGTGTTTTATGTGTCTATGTTAAAGAATGTAGTTGGAGACCCGACAGTCATTGTTCCGGTTGAGACTATTGAGGTAAATGAAGAATTTACTTATGAAGAGATTCCAATTTCTATAATTGATCGGCAAGTCCGAAAGTTGAGAAAAAAAGAAATTGCATCCGTGAAAGTGCTATGGCAAAACCAACAGGTTGAAGAGGCTACTTGGGAGGCCGAAGAAGAAATGAAGAAAAAGTATCCTTATTTATTTGAATAACCGTGTAATTATGAGTTGTGCCTTATGAAAATGCTAGGGGATATTCCTATGGAATATGTATGACTTGTACATTTGGTGGTAAGGGTGTTCCGTTCTGGTAATATAATTGCTTGTGTGGTCACAGTTGGCGTTGTTTTGTATTATGTTACGTTGCTGGATTATGTATATGTTGTTAGGATGTGTTTCTGGGGCTCTCTGACAGGTGGATAGGCCTAATTACAAGGGAAACTCTAGCGAAATTTTTGGAAATTTAGGGAGTTAGTCAAATTTGGGGTTGCTAGTTTGTGGTATAAAACAAACTAAGTTGCATAAGATGCTAATGACGGATGTTTACCCTCATTCGACGACGAATGATCCTACGCACGGGAGAAGGTAACACCCCGAAAAACAAATTTGAAGTACTTAAGTGGTAAGCCCGATAAAGTTTGCAAAGAAAATAATATTTTATGGTGTCGGACTAGGCTAAGTGGGTTGAACAATACACCGGAAAGTAAAGAAAACATTTTGGTGGAAAAATGCATTTCTGCGGTCAATTATGCGATCACAGAATCACTCTGCGGACCGCATACTGGCCGCAGAGTGAGGCAGTTATTGGGCCAATTGGAAGCAATTATGCAGTCGACTATGCGACCGCATAACTGTTATGTGGTGCATTATTAGACCGCATAACGGTTATGTGGACCGCATAGTGACCGCATACACAGACAGTTCTTTTGGCTATTTTGTAACCAACTATGCGACCGATATGCGGTCAGCATATCGGTTATGCGACCGCATACCTTGTTCCGGAGTTCCATTTTTGGGTTTTCAAAACCCGACCCTATTTCGTCAAATACACTCTTTGGGTCATTTTGAGCTATTATCTGACATTTTAGAGTGAGAGAGGGTGCCCTAGAGTGAGAAGGTGTTCTCCAATATTTGTCCTTCAATTCTTGCCCAAGTTTTGGAAGATTAAGAAGGGAAAACTCACTAGGTCTTCATCCTAGAGGTAAGATTCTACACCCTAACCCTCACTTTCGAATTTTGTGTAGAATTGGATAATTAGCAATATAATTTCTGGGCAGTAGGGTTGTTTATTTACATGCATGTGATATCCAGGGGTGTAGGAAGATTTTTGAACTAGGCATGGTAAATATTGGGTTGTGGGATGATGGAACTCTCCATAAAAAGTGCCTTGAAACCTTAATGCATACCTAGTGTTTGATAAAATGATCAAATGAGCTAGAACCATAATCATCTTCCTAATTTTGGTTCAATTTGTTATATTTCTAAAATAGATTGAAGTGGCTAAGAATTCCAGAACATTTAGAGTGTAAGGAATCTCAAGTAAGGTATGTTGGCTAAACTCTTCTTTAAGAATTGGAAATTCCAATATCCTTGTAAGTTCCGAGATGTTGATTATAAATGGAGTATTCCAATAAGTTTTGTGGTGAAGATATATGTTCAATTCGTATTTAAAATGCTCTTATCATATTGCATTATAAATTGAGGATGTGTCCCAAACTATGGATTATGTACCACATGTCATAATTTCTAGTCGTGATTTATGTGAAAGTTATTATGCCAAGTTGTGTAGAGATTGTGATTGTGATACACCTCCACCCGCATACATTGGGGTGAGGCGGCATTACCGCTTTGTGTGGGTATTATGGTATACAGATTGTGATTGTGATACACCTCCACCCGCATATATATATATATATATATATATATATATATTGGGGTAAGGCGTCATGACCGCTTTGTGTAGGGATTAGAATATTGTGGGACTGCACCTCCACCCGCTTACATTGGGGTGAGGCGGTACGACTGCTTTGTGTATGGTTTTGGTATTGTTATGGCACCACCACCCGCATACATTGGGGTGAGGCGGCATAGCCGCTTTGTGTTGGTATTGGTATCATTGATGCATTTCCACCCGCATACATTGGGGTAAGGCGGCAAAGCCGCTTTGTGTAGGTTCTTGGTACTGTGGTTAAACATCCACCCGCATACATTGAGGTGAGGCGGCAGGGCTGCTTGATTTGAGTTGTGGTATTGTACGTACACCTCCACCTGCCTACATCAGGTGAGGCGGATGGGCCGCTTTGTGTGAGGATGGTTATAGAGGATCATATCTTAAATCCTATAAATGTTGTTGATAGCTTTTAATAAGCTTGCTATGGTTGAGACGGTTATCTATATTATTCTATTGCCGTACTGGTTCATTATAATTATCTTGTATTTCAAAATTCTTAAATTGGTGTTTAGTTTTCATACTAGTACTATACTACGGTACTAACGTCCCTTTTGCCAGGGGCGCTGCATCTTTAAATGGATGCAGGTGGTTTCACAGTAGGAGACATTGATCAGTGATAGCAGTACACCTTCTTCCCAGCTGACTTGGTGAGCCCCACTTCATCCCGGGGTCATGTATCTTTTGTTCTTTATGTATTATGGTTGAGGTATATCCGGGACCTTGTTGCCGGCATTATCATTGTACTCTTCTTTATCTATAGAGGCTCCGTAGACATAGTGTGGGTTGTGTATTGGTACTGGGAAAGACAAAGTATGCTATGTAGTGATTGTATTACTTGTCCATTTGAGAATGTAAAAATGGTGAAACTTATGGTAAGAAATTGGTAATTGCAGACATGACCACTTTATTGTTTAATTAAGGAAAACATATATTCTCTTTATTCATGAATGAGTTTGGGTAGAAGAAATCTAACAGGCTTGCTCGGTCGAGTTCAATCGGTTGGGCGCCGGTCGCGCTCCACGATTTTGGGGCGTGACACATGGCATTCCCCGCTTTAGGCCTCTTTCTCACACCACGATTTGTTATCCGAATTCTTCCAATCTCGTAACTGTTGGTATATTATATCATACAGCCTGTACGACTCTTACCATGAAAGTGACTATGTGAATCTTCTCTCTTTTTTTCTCAGGCTTTTAGCCAATATCTAGGCCTTACCTTATGAATATATATTGAACTATGACAATCTATCCCTCTGGGCATCTTTAGGTACACTGAAGTTCTTCACTCGGTACTTTGTCAATATTACGACTATTGATATGACTTGTTTTTATAGCGCCGGTTATCTATGTTTATGGGTTTACTACAGCTAGGTAGGTCACACTAAACCATAACTCTTACTTCAGTTTATTATTACCGAGGTCTTCTATCCAACTCCATGTTGCTCTCTCGCTACTTATCTTACAACAACAACAACAACAACAACAAACCCATTATGTTCCCACCAGGTGGTATCTGGGAGGGTAGTCTGTACGCAGACCTTAGCCTTACCTAAAAGGTAGAGAGGCTGTTTCCAATAGACCCTAGGATCAGGAAGGGTAATAAGAAGAAGAGGATAGCAAGAATGGAAGAACGGGAGAAGAGAAAAGTAAAAGGAAGATATAAAGGATAAGTAGTACCAAAAACTAGCAACAAGAGATACAATACCTGAGGAGAACAAAACTACATAACGTAATAAAAATCTAAGAATATGAAGGGACAAGCGTGCTACTAAGACTATCGGTGAGCAACTAAAAACTACCCACTAACCTTCTACCTTAATCCTCGACCTCCACACCCTCCTATCAAGGGCCATGTCCTCAGTAAGCTGAAGCAGCGCCATATCCTGTCTAATCACTTCTCCCAAGTACTTCTTTGGCCTACCTCGACCTCTTCTCAAACTTGCCATGGCCAATCTATCAAACCTCCTAATAGGGGCATCAATGCTTCTTCTCTTAACATGTCCGAACCATCTCAGCCTCGACTCCCGTATCTTGTCCTCCACGGAGGCTACTCCCACTCTGTATTGGATAACTTCATTCTTAATCTTATCTCTCCTGGTACATCCACACATCCATCTCAACATCCTCATCTCGGCTACTTTCATCTTCTGGACGTGGGTGTTCTTGACTGGCCAATACTCAGCTCCATACAGCATAACCGGTCGAACCACCACTCTATAAAACTTTCCCTTAAGTCTTAGCGGCAAGTTCTTATCACATAAAACACCGAAAGCGAGCCTCCACTTCATCCATCCTGCTCCGATGCGATATGAGACATCTTCATCAATCTCCCTGTTACCTTGGATAATATACCCAAGATACTTAAAACTTGCTCTCTTGGGGATAACTTGAGCATCAAGCTTTACCTCTATGTCTGCTTCATGGGTCCCGTCACAGAATTTGGACTCCAAGTATTCTGTTTTGGTTCTACTCAATTTGAAACCTTTAGACTCCAAGGTCTGTCTCCAAACCTCCAACCTCGCGTTAACTCCGATTCGCGTCTCGTCAATCAACACTATATCATCGGCAAATAGCATGCACCAAGGCACCTCCTCTTGGATGTGTCACAATAGTACATCCATTCCTAAGGCAAATAAAAATGGGCTAAGAGCCGATCTTTGGTGCAACCCCATCACCACAGGGAAATGTTCCGAGTCCCCACCCACAGTCCTCACATGACTCTTAGCATCATCATACATATCCTTAATCACCCTAATGTACTCTACCGGAATGCCACTAGCCTTCACATACCTCCACATGACCTCCCTCGGTACTTTATCATACGCTTTCTCAAGGTCAATAAACACAATATGCAAGTCCTTCTTCCTCTCCCTATACTCCTCCACTAATCTCCTAACCAGATGAATCGCTTCTGTAGTCGAACGCCTAGGCATGAATCCAAACTGATTCTCGGAAATAGACACACACCTCCTCATTCTGGCCTCCACCACCCTCTCCCAAACATTCATAGTGTGACTCAACAGCTTGATACCCACATAATTGTTACAATTTTGGATATCACCCTTGTTCTTGTAAAGCGGAACCATCGTGCTCCACCTCCATTCTTCGGGCATCTTCTTCGTCTTAAAAATATCATTAAACAGCCCAGTGAGCCACTCTAAACTTGCTCGCCCCCGTGCTCTTCCAGAATTCTACCGGGATTTTGTCTGGCCCCGTCGCTCTACCCCTGTACATCTTACGCATCGCCCCTTCCACCTCCTCTACCGTAATCTGCCTACAGTACCCAAAATCCCGCTCGCTCTCGGAGTGCTCTAACTCACCTAGCACAATGCGTCTATCCCCCTCCTCATTCAATAGTTTATGGAAGTATGTCTGCCATCTTCTTGTAATAAGTGCCTCGTCCATCAATACTTTTCCATCCTTATCCTTGATTCACTTGACTTGGTCTAAGTCACAGGCCTTTCTCTCCCTCACCTTGGCCAACCGGTACAACTTCTTATCCCCGCCTTTGCCCCCGAGTGCCTCGTACAAATGAGCAAATGCCGCATTTTTAGCCATCGTAACTACTAACTTTGCCTCTTTCTTTGCCTTTTTGTAACACTCCCGATAAGACCTTTTTTCCTCCTCGTTTGTACTCTCTACTAGCTTCAAATAAGCAGCTTTCTTAGTTTCCACTTTACCTTGGACCTCTCCTTTCCACCACCAGTCCCCTCTATGACCCCCGGGAGAGCCCTTCGTGACCCCTAAGACCTTTCTAGCAGCAACCCTAATGAAATTCGCAGTCGTGAACCACATACTAGACGCGTCCCCCCTACTCATCCAGGCCCTCATAGCCAACAA